TCAGATTTTCCTTGAAGAAATAACGGAACATATCCCATCTCTTTCCAAATTTGATCTTCCCTAAGTAACACTGAAACAATTCTGACATGATTCAATCTTCTCTGAAGAACAATGGAATGAATCAATGTCCCTAAATATAATTTTATCTAAAGAAAAAGTGAAACAAATCCCTCTTTTTCTAGATCTGGTCTTCCCTTAAGAACAATGGAATGAATCAACGTCCCTAGATTTGATTTTCCTTGAAGAAACAGCATAACAAATCCCCTCTATTTCTAGATTTGGTTTTCCTTGAGTAGCAGTGGAACAAGTCTGCATCGATCTAACCTTCCCTGAGGAACAATGGAATGAATCAACGTTCCCAAATTTGATTTTCCCTTAAGAAACATCGAAATATATCCAATCTCTTTCCAGATTTGATCTTCCTTGAGTAGAAGTGGAACAAGCCTGCCACGATTCAATCTTCCCTGAAGAATAGTGGAATGAATCAACATCTCCAGATATGATTTCCCCCGAAGAAGCAGCGAAATAGATCCCCTCTTTCTAGATTTGATCTTCCATGAGCAGTAGTGGAACAAGTCTGCCTCGATTCAATCTCCCCTGAAGAATATTGGAATTAATCAACATTTCTTGATCTGATCTAATATGAAGAAGCAGTGGAGCAGATCCCTTATCATATTCCAAAGCATAAATTTGACTGGATGAAAACTCATTGTCTCTTCGTCTTTGCCCTATTCTTGTTAATACAAGAATGAGAAAAGAGGGGTAGTTGTCGACTCCCGTTTTCATCCCACTATTATTATTATTATTATTATCATTAATATTACTTTTTTATTTATTTTACATCCCAACAGAACTGGCCCAAAACCCCTTATACCCAAGGGCCAAAAGCAACTCGGGCCCAACAACCAAACCCTAAAGGCCTACACTATTACAAACTTTGGTTAACCCTAAAATTAGAGTTAGCCATTCTCTATCGCCACCACCAAGGGTCTTCTGCTGCCGCCCATCTCCACCAATCAGATCTGTCGCCTTGCTGCACCAATCCCGGTCACCGACGCTTCCATTAATCCTCAATAGTCTCCTGCCATGTCAGATTAAGCAAACCAACACACATGCAAACAATGATTTCCTTTTGTAATCATTTGATTTTATTAAAAATAAAAAAGAGAAAAAGTTGTAAAAATATGGGTTATAAAACCCGAATGATGTAAAGAGAAAGGGTCCCCTTCTCGGATTTTCTAAAGCAATAAAAGCATAAAACAATAGAAGGAATTTTTTCATTGTTTTTTCCAGTTTCAAAATAATAAAAAAAATTGAAAACAACCAAAAACCTTGCATGTAATAAAAATCAAGGTAAAATTCCTATAAATAGGACTCATGGAGTCAATATAATTATATGTGCTTATTGGGGTATTTTGTAAGGGTTGATTTTTCTTGTTTGGGAGGGTTGGTTTCATGGTTCTATTGAGGTGTTGTTGTAGCAACTTTGTTGCTTACTTTTGGATAATTTATTGAAAAATGACTTACTCCAAAAAAATATTATTTGCCGAGTGATGTGATTTTTGATTTATTATTAATAGTATAAATATCATTTAACTAATTCATTATTTTTAAACAATATTTATGTGAGAAGAATCAAGTGATCTATTTTAGTTAAAGAGATAATTGTTATTTTTAGAATTTCGAGACCCTAACATCAACGACTAAAAAAATTTGAATATTCATTATTAAATGATTGAGGCTTTAAAATAAATACTATACTTTATAAACACCTTAAATTATTAAAAAAAATTAATCCCTCCTACAAATAAAATTGATGGTATAAAATCATGGATTCATATGTATTCTTTATCTGTGTATTCTTTGTATGTCGTTTAATAAAGACTCCATCTCAAAAGGGAAGAGCTTTTCCGAAGTCCAAAGAATGTTGCAGATGTCTGTAAGGCTTCTTTTCTTGTTTTATCTTTTCTGTTCTTTAGTTCTAAACAAATTGAGTTTGTCGAGCAAGCAGTTGGTTTCTCAGTTTTTCTCATCTTTTTCATTTCTTGGACAAAAGATTTCAAACAATATAACGGTGAGCAATGAGAATAAGAAGACAGTAGAAAAAGCAGAGTCTGAGGTAAAAGTAAGGAACCTGATGTTCCAGCGACAGGCTCCTTCGACGGTTCCAGAAATACCACAATGTTCAAATCGGGTTAAACCACCGTTCTTCCTGCCCTGTCTGTTAGAAACCAACCATAGTTCACGACCAGAGATTTAAATTGCGGGTATGACCGCGTTTTTTGTCGCATTATGTTTATTGTGGTTGCGGGTGTCGTGCTCGTGAGTTTTTTTCTTCTTCTAAATGACTTGATTTAAAATAAAACTATTTTTTTAATTAATATAACAGAACAATAGCATAATAGTGATTCGTTATTGTCGCGATTGACCGTTGTCCGCTAAACTATGACTGCAACTCACCGATGTGATTTCGCTTTACATCGTTATTTTCTTAGGAAGTACAGGGATGGCAAAGGAGTCCCGTTTCAAGTACCCGATACGTTTTGGGCACGGGGATGGTACGAGGACGATTGGGGTACGTACCGGGAACGTGCCACAGTGACAGGTACGATTGACCAAATTCAGGGACGGTCAAAGCTCATCTTGGAATGTTTCGGGGACGTCTCCGGGGTAATTACCACCGACCGAAGGGGTTGAGAAATTTTTTTTCTAATTGGACACCCTTATGCTGGAGGTTTTGGCTTTAGATTTTTTAGCTACTGATTTTCCTTGTGGAAAAAACAATTATGCATAAATTCAAGTATTTCAGTTACCTTCCTCTGTTTCGTCAGCTGTGAATGGATTATACATAAAATTTTTCATTTTACCAGTAGTTCATTCTCATCATCTTCATCCATCCTTTTTTGTGCACTTTCCAACGTTTCGGGGACGGTCAAACCTAAGACGGTGATTCAGCTCCCCTATTTCCGAAAAGGAAGAAAAGAAACAAAAGGAAGAAGAAGCGGCAGCATGAAGAAGAAGCGGCAGGTGGAGAGATTAGGATCTATAGAATTTTTTATATAATTTCCATTTGCTCCCTGATCTTCCTAGGGATTTCTAATTTGGAAACAATTTTTTCATTATTGTTCAAATTGAACACTAAATTAATTTAAGGGTCTGGAAAAATTATCAAATGTTAGGATTTTAATTAGAGTTAAATTAGGGTGTTACACCAAATTTTCTAGTAAGTATTAACTTTATTTATGATTTTTATATCTATTTATAATTTAAAAAAATGCTCAAATGTTAGGATTTTACTGTCATAAATTTAATATTGTGGTTTGAGTATTGATATTTGACTTTATTTATGATTTTTTATATATATTTATAATTTTAAAATTATTTTATATGTCGTACGCTTGCCGTCCCCGTACCCTGTAATTTTAAAAATGGCCATTTCCCGTCCCCGTCCCCGTTCCCATCCCGTATCCGTATTAGTGCAACATACGATAGCAGTTTGGGACATCGTCATGACCCCACTATAACTGTTGCTATACATCCATCTGACTGCTATTTGAATCTCTGTTCACTACTGCTCGCCCTTTGTGCTAAGCGGAGACCGTACATTCCATGATTATCCTGAACCACATTGTTCTATATGGTCACTGTGATCAGTTCTATCAGGCTACAGAACAGAAACCTTTGCCGCCTCGCTCTTCAACGATATTCCAAAACATCGTAAATGTACTAGTCATTGATTGTAATCAATATATGAACTAGCATTGAGAAATATCGTTTTAATCTAATTCTTATTAACTGGCGCTGATGCTTGAATCGATTGTCTAGTCAACAGCTGATTGATATTTCATATTCACTGGTGTTGAACGATTCAATCATCAGCACCAGTGAATAACAATCAGCAATTGACTAGACAACCTATTCGACTATCAGCTCCATATACAAATTCACCACGTCCAATGCCAGTGCTGTTAGGAGGACAACCATTATCTTCAACTTTGGAGAGTCCTCGACACCTCACAGACGGTCCTAAAAAATTTCCACTCTGCTGGTTTGTGTCAATATCTTATCTTGTATTGACAATGTGACATTAAAGTCTATCCCTCTGGCACTAATGTTTATTCTCACTGATGAAAGGGAAGCTCAGCTGTTGCAACAGAAGTAGGTCCAAGATGTAGGTTCCACAGGCATCCATGGGATGAGCACCCCCAAGCATGGCATGTTCCACGGGAATCCATAGTGAAGCTGCTGATCAAGGAAACTACGAAACAGATTCCTCTTCCTTTGCCAAGCAAAAAGCAGAGTTAGCAACCTTCTTTTACATGCCCATAGATAAAAGGAAGAGTGCCAGTCAAGAACAGAATAATTACTACATACAACAGTTAACAATAATAATGAAGTTTAAAGGTCAGAAATTTCCTTGTGAAATTGCTAATGTCTGCTATAATTTAAAGTGATATCGTGCTTGATGTTTTAAATTAAAATTAACTGCCTTGGAACTGAAGAGACATGGGAATGACTTGGAGAGAGATCATCTCCACTCCTCGGAATGGTTTATTGCCTCCATCGACAATGTCAGTAAAAGAATCCAGTGTGAAGCGTTTTGTGTTCATGGGGATGTTTCGGATCATATATCGCGTACAGGAATAAGAAAAGGGCTAGCTAGGAGGATACCCACTTTACTTTTGTGCAACTCAAGGACGCAAAAGGTCTGAGAGTTGCTATGATAAGATATGATATTCCTCAATAGCAATAATCTTATTTTGGACTAGTTTGATTAATAATCTTATTTTGGACTAGTTTGATTAAATAATCTCATCTTTGAGAAGATATGTCCTAAATTAAAATAAATGAATTGTGTTGAGCTCTCACACGTTCTTTTTTTTTTTCCAACAAGAATGTCTTTAAGTTTTATTTCTTCTTTCGCATTAGTACTATTTTAATGATGAACACAAGCCTTTCAAACATCTTTAAATCTCTTTAGACATCCACATAACCTTTCTTAAAACAAAATTGTTAAAAAATGATTAAATTTATAAAAGCTCATAACTTAATTATGTATGCTAAATATAAACTGAAGCACAAGGAACTAATACAGAGATAACTATGTGATTAGATAATTTGACTAATGCTTTTCTAGGTTTACAAATGAATAGGAAAGCCAAGCATTTGAATCCACTCTCTTTTTAATCCTCAATCTATTTTGTCCGCGGTCAAACCTTGATGACAGGTAACAGATTAGCCGGCTAAGGGTGGCGCCCAGCAGCTTTGCCGCAAAGTAAGACATTAGAAGGAATGTCATATTCGTTTGAAAGACTTCGGACAGAATTCCAGACCCTCAGATAAAACTGTTGCCCTAGATATTGCCTTTCCCATGCTGCAGACCTCATGTTCCACATACCTTGGTTGTCCAGGGACACCAATATGGTTGTCCATGAATTTGGATACACCTGAAACCATCAGTAGGAACGATGATTAATACAGTGGCATAAACTCCGAGCATTGCTCAATTGAAAGATATGCTTTTGGTCCTTGATGGGCTATTACCTGAGTCGTGTGTCTTGTAAGAGCATCAACTAGATTGTAGGTTCTTCTTTTCTTTGGTGTCCACTGTCCAGAGCCGAAACTGTATATATCATGATAGGAATGATAAGTACCTACTCAGCCAGAGAAAAAGATGTACGAAAACAAACCAGACATTGCAGCTCACCCGACGACCCAAAAATCATAACCATCAAGATGCCAAAATTGCATGGTGTTTTCATTGTTCTGAAAGACAACTTCAATAAAATCATGGAGAGATGACGGCATAGCTGAAGTCGCAAAGGAGGCGGCACCACCTGAAGGAACGTCTTGGATGGCATTCATGCTAAAAACTCCTGGAATGTTAAAATGATCAGCAAGCTTCAGAGGGGTATCAGCATTGATATAGGAGACACCATTCACTGAATAACGCAGCTTTCCATTGATCAAAGATGCTGAGTTGGCCAACACAATTGTCTTCGTTGGTGTTATCTTCCCATAATGAAATGAACCCTGAGGGTTAGGCCTGGCTGCATTAGATGTCAGATTCCACCTTCAAGGAAATGAAGAAAAAAAAAAGAATTAAATCAGATCAGTTTTAATCTGAATCCAAGAAAAACAGCAGCATTGATCAGTCACAAAAGGTAATAGATCTTCCATTGACTATTACCTGTATGTTCTTGCCTGTTGCATTGACCAATGAAATTGGTACACCGGAGCGGCTGGCAACGGTCCCGAAACTGGGGTTTTCGAGTTTGCGTAGTGCAAGACTGCAGTTGCAGTGAGAACTGTCCTAGTAAATCTTGTGGATGCAACAATGTAGTAGTCTTTTGGTGGCTGATTCAAGGTTACTAAGACTGTTACGGATTGGCCGACATGTACATCAAGAGAGTCATAAATGTTCTGAATTACGTGAGACCCTTCAACCTCAATCAACTTCATTGAATGACCCTGAATCCTTAAGTTAAGTGAGGTGGATAATCCAATATTTGAGATCCTGAACATGTAAGTTTTGCCTGAAACACCACAAATAAAAATTAATCAGTAAAGGCTTCATAGAATTGAGTTAAAGAAATTAATCTAATTGCTATGAATTATACAAGCAATGAAACGTGAATCGTAATATGAATTAAAGGATGACCTTGTACTCCACTAAAAGTATTCTTTGTCTGTCCGTTAACAAGGACTCCATCTGGAAAGGGAAGAGATTTTCCAGAGTCCAAAGAATTCTGCAATGTCTGCAAATCTCAAAACAATATATTAAGAATGATGTATTAATATTCGTAGAATCTGAACCTTCTGGTGGCAAAACGACAAGAGTGAAACACTAACCTTATGGCTGGCCTTGTACCAGTCACCAATAAGTAAAGTGAAATCTCCATCAGGGTTTTTATAAGGAATTGGGATCACACTTCTATGGTATATATTGAGCGCTCCAAATCCACCAGCAGCTCTATGCATTAGAGTGGATGGGAAATATGTGAATGTCCCAATCTGATCCTTGGCCTGGAACTTGTAGGTATAGTTCGAATTGGGAGGGACGGGGCAATTGGTTCCTAAAACTCCATCCTGCCATGAGTTCTTCCTTTGCTTTACCCCACTCCTGTTGTTATTAGAACAATTTATCATTTCAAAAACGTCATGATTCTGTAAAGCAGGGAATGTGAGTTAAGTGAATGAGAGAGGTACCATGCGAGCAAGAAAGGCTGATCAAGCTTGTTAATGAGATTCAATATAATGTTGTTATTAGTCACCACTTCAAGTTTTGGACCAGGAAATTGATTATTGATAAGGATAACCTTAAAATAATAAAAAAACCCAAAAATGTCAACTTTTTATAACCTCAAATCAAATCCACGTTCCAAAAAACAAATTACCAACCTGCTGGGGAACTCCAAAAATTGAACGAGTTCCATAAGTGACGGTCCAAGTATAATAAAGGTAGGGGTCTTCAGCATTCACCAGGGAAACACCCAAAACTCCAATAATCAAACTCAACACTGCATTTCCCATATCCTTTTTTTTCTACTCTGAATCTCACTAAAACATAAATTAACCATTTAGTTAGTAAACTAACTACAAAGCCTGATAGAATTGTTTATCAGACCATATTTGACTAAAAAAGAAACTTACCTGATTTGAGACTTCCTGGAAAATAAGCTATTTTGATTTCTGAGGTCACTATCTGAACAGGTACAGAGTTTTTATAGGAAGCAAGGAGGGGGAAAACTACACCAGATACAATTTTTAACGTAAATTTATCCAATTTCTAACCTTTTTTGAACTTAACAATCCTTTAGTTGCAAAGGTAAAGGCTGTCGCAGTTAAATAGTATATTTGGCGTCTTTCACGCGTTTTCGCGTTATGATAATTGCTTCCACCTAAAGTTTATTTTCACTCATTAACTCTTTCCTTTACTAAAAATATTATATCTATCTGCTCCTGCAATCCCGCCATTGATTAGAGCTTTTGTTTTTTCTTTTGACCTTTAGTAAGAGACGAGCTAAATTCTATGTAATTTTCTTCTTCTTTTTTTGTATGAAACAATGACTTAAATCAGACAGAGCATTCCTAGACTCGTACAAACAGATAATGGCATCTGGAGTATGGTTTTTTTATTGCATAATTTTTTTTTCTTACAACCTCACATGCAAGCAGCATGCATAAGAAATCAAGTGGCTTGAAAAAAATAATAAGTGTTCTTTGCCACTCACCACTTCTCCCATAAATATTTTAGTTTTAGGTTGGAACTGAGAGTGGACAGTCCATAAAGTCATTTTGTTTATCTTAAAGCATTAAATATGTCACCCTCCTCAATAAAAATAGTAAGTTGTAGAAAGAAAATAAATAATTGGAGAAGTTTGTAAGAATTGAGTCAAATGAAAGCCGGGTTTGTCTATTTGCATTTCTTTTAAGAAAACTATAGTCCATCAATTTTATATGTATCTGTCTAATTATGCAACACTTGTTGATATCTAAATTAATATAACATTATAGTTAGAAGTAAATATGTTGATAAAATTTATAACTTGAAAATGAGACTTTTTTATAAAATCCAACATAAAAATTTAAAAAATGTGCTAATAAATTTTTTCTTCAAATTACTCGAATTAAATTAAAGTTGGTAAATAGAAATGTATAATCTCTTGTAATTATTTCGATTGTGGAATTTATACAATCACGGAGGGCCTACTGTACTGAATATGAATGAATGGTTGTCACGTGAGATGTTCGCAACTGGATCTGATAACCATTTGACCGCACCGTACTGCACCGCCACCTCTACCCCACTTCCTGACGCCAGCCCCCGGAGATGAGATGAGATGAGATGAGATGATGGAAGGGCACCGCATAGATTTATTTTACCCACACATCATTGATTGAAAAGAGGAAAATTTCCCCAAAACAATTCTCATCAATTTCAACATAAATGTGGTTAAAATTACTTAAATTATTAGTATTAATATCTATTTGATTAATTGATGAAAGATGAGAATGAATTGGGAAGAATAGTTAAACTAAATTGTAGTAATGGAGGATTAAAAGAATATTTTGGTCAACTGGAGTTAGATGAATTTAAAATTCATTTCTTTTAAGGTATTAAAGTATAGAGTAAGGGGAAAAGGGGAGTAAATTTGGTCAACTCCTTTCCTTCTTCTTTCCCGTGCATACTCTCATCCATAGCTCAAAGGTGAGTTTTCAATTTGCTAGTTTATTTCTTCATTTTTGGTTGGGTTTTGAAGCATTGAGTATACTAGAATCTTAAGGAGGGATTAAAGGGGATCAAAACTAAGTTATGGATGAGATAATAGAGATTGAAGAAAATGGGTTTTTTTAGTGATATGTTAAAATAGAAGTGTTTATGGATGTTTACTGGTAGATTTGACTTGTCAAAGAGGTAAATGAGAGATTAGGCATTGGATAGGATTAAGAACACATTAGGAAAAGTGGTGTGATTCTTAGAATTGATTGTTCTTGGAAGATTTTAAATGTTTTAAGAGACTAAATGAAGGAATGTTAGTATGGATAGTAAAGAAGAGTTTAATAGCATTGAATGTTGTATATATAACGAAATTTAACCCCATTTGGGTGATAATCGGGTTGAAAATGGAAATTATGGGTACGAGTATCGGTATTGATAGAATAATTCCGATACCACAGGCTAAAAATAGGGTGAACTTGCTAAGTAGTATCAATACTGATTCAATTAGTATCGATACCGAAGGGAAGGTATCGATACCATTTTGAAACATAATGTAAAAATGGTATTGATATCATAGCAGAGTATCGGTACCATAGTATAATAGTATCGATACCATGGTAAGGGTATCGATACTATGGAGCCATAAATGTTAAGCATAGGTTGTTATTGTTATAGAAAGTTAATGATATGTCATTTTGAATATTGTTTAAGTATAATGGTTAGAAAATATACTAACATTGGGTATGTTAATTGTTTTAAATGGATGCTTGAGTAGATCGAAACCAAGCTCCCGAGATAAACAAAACTAAGGGCAAAGACAAAGTACCAGAGTAATCATCCTTACGATCTGGATACATAGCGGGGAAGCCATGCGAGTGCTTTTATCATGTTCATTAGGAATTATATATAAATTTTGTTAAAACATATGTTGCAATGGTATATTAGTACTAAGTGTACTACAGGCACTACGTGTGTAAAACCACGGAATTCATCATGAGTTGATGAATTATCGTATAGGCACTACTCGTGCATTCTAATAAAAGAACATGAATAGAAACTTGATAAATTATTATATTAGCACGGTTTATAATAAAGTGTAAAGAGTTGCTCAATATTAGAACTGTTACCCTATATTTATGTTTATAAGTTACTTATGATTAAGTATGCCTCACTAAGTAATACTTAACGTGTGTTTATTTCACGCGTAGGTTGAATACAAGCTGAGTAATGAGATCATCAGACATCAAGTTAGAATCTCCTCATCAGTAACAGTATGACATACATGTCTACTTTTGAAATATTTTAGTCGGCATGTAATATGTTTAGTAGAAACGCTCTGAAAAGGTTTTGAATTAAACTACTGTAAAATGGTGAAATATGAAACATCTCTTTTAATTGTCTATTTAAGTTTAATGCATGTTTTAATTATAAGTAAATTATAATGGTTTATAAAATAAAATAAAATTGTACGGATTTTCAAATGAGAAACTGTTTAAAAATGATGTGACATTTGTAGATTGTATACATAAAGGTATACGAGAGATGGGAGTCACATTTATTGGTATCAGAGCTACTTGTTTAGTCAGTTCTCAACAGAAAATGAGTGTATTTTGATAAAAAGAGTTTACATGCCACTAAGATGTCAATGTTACTGATAGGGCATATAATGAATATAGAAGATATCTATCCTTACTAACTTAATTACTATCTTTATGAATGTTATGATAGATATCATATTCTACGAATTCGAGAAGAGCGACTGATCGAGAGAGTAGAGACGAATCGGGTAGTGAAAGCTATGAAGAGAATAGCAAACATCCGATTCCGTCTGAGAACGCCAGTGCACTGGCACCTCAGAGTATCGCGAATGTTTATTCCGAAAGAGTTAAGAAGTTTGGGAGCTCCTGAGTTTATGGGAGAAGAGAGTGAATGTTCTATGGATGCAGACTTATGGCTGAATGATGTTATGATGATGTTGGAAAGCCTTCAGTGCTCTGATCATGAGAAGTTGGGCGGAACTGTATCGTTACTCTGAGGTTCAGCTCGGGTGTGTTGGACCAACACGATGATATAACCGACCTATAATCGTTTAGATACTAAATTTGGACGGTGTGGGGGTGCTAACCCTTCACCACACGTAACCGACTCCCGAACTCTTAAAAATGAATCTTTGGTAAAACGTAGACCATTTTTTATCATTTAAGGTTTCCAACCTACCTACCTTAAATGTTGGTGGTGACTCAAAAAAAATCAAATTGTTTTCCAAATTGAATTTTATCGCCTTTCCCGAAATAAATATTTTAAGTCTAACAGATTCCCCCCGCGAAAACGTTATGACAGCTTGGCGACTCTGCTGGGGACTTCGAGAGTCAGGCCATAAAAGACTGTACGTTGTTTTTATTTTTGGGAATTACAAATTTAAATTGTATTTAATTTATGATCCTTTTTTTATTTTGAGTTTCAATATATTATTTTTTAAACTAATTGATTTTTTATTTTAGTGATTTTCAGATTTGAACAAATTTTGAAAATTGTGAGAGTTTTGTTTTTTTTCATGTTTTAAAGGTTTATGAGTTTCTCCTCTCACACAACACGTTCATATACATAACATAAGCTCACTTACGAGCTTTGTCCCTTTTAAGTTGAGGTGAAAGCTTAGCCTACACGAGATAAATTGCTTGGTGAATATTTTACTATGTCTTTGGCAGATTTCAACTTTCTATGGGGTTCATGACTGATGTCACAGACCATGATTTTATAACTTCTTTACTTGAGATTCCGTATGATTTCGATACAAACATAGCTTATGAGGTGTTCACCAGCTCGGTGGGTGCCACTTTCAATGCTCGTACCACCCAAGGGTGGCATTTATGATCTTGCTATCCATTACATACACCAGTTTCTAGCATATAACTACTACGAACATAATGACACTATGACCTACTTAAGTAAGGTCGAACTATTTTTCTTGTGGTGTATGCAAATCAGTGTGAAGGTAAATTTGGGCTCTTGATTCACCCGCGCCTTCGAATGCGTTGTACTCTCCGATCGTCCACTCATTCTTGGCCCTTAGATTACTCACTTAGCATCTCACTTATCTCTATTGACATTTGATACTAACCAATTTACATATGCATTTGCAATGGACCCATTGGATGCTAGGTGTTTAAACTTGATGGGACTCCTCACTAGTACTCCCGATGCATCGTATATTGTTCTTCTCGACACATTTACCCCTTGCAATACGTGTGTATTTCTTTGGAGGGATCCAAAACCCATGGCACCGGAGGAGTACCCTCAATCATATGCACACAATGAAATCCACGAAGTGTATGGCCCCATGGATTCCATCGAAACCAACCTCACTGAGATCTTCTCCTATCTTCACTCGGGGCCTTCTCGACATGGATACGATCACAACCACGATTATCATTAATTGGATAGTATTCTCACATTTTCTCTTTTGCATTTTATTCTTTTGTTCATATTGGGACAATATGATTTAAGTGAGGGGTTGAATAAGAAATTAAATTAACTCTTGCTAATTCTTTGTGATTGAAGTCTTGCTTGTTCT